TACTTCAAATGATTGAACTGAAAATATTTTTTGAAAATAAATTAGTAAAATTCACAAATCTGAGCATAAGACGGTAATGGAGGTAACTGTTTTGAAAAGTCGTCCCTTAATTATATAATAAAAAAAAATAACTTTTTTTTATTTTACAGTTTAGATATGCATGTGTTTTTAGTATACACTTGTGCATGTTGTCAAATGTTAATATTAATCACATATTTTTGCATGCACAAAAAGTTATCAAGAATCAAGTATTTCATATTACAATGAAACATGAGTAAACATTGGTATTTAAGAACAAATATCCATAAAACAAAACAAATAGGAGCAGAGGAAAAAACTAGACTGACAAATTCTTTCTGGTCTCTTTTGAATGATAGATTTAAATACAGTCAAACTTGTCTTAGCAGCCACCCGAAATCAACGGCCACCCGCGGTCAGCGGCCACTTTCAGTTCCCCCCGATGATTTTTCCTATATATTTTAACTGGAGTAAACGGCCACCTGTATAACGCGGCCAGCGGCCACTCAAATCCTCCCCCAACAATCTTATTGAAACTGTAATAAGCGGTCATTTCGTCACTTGTCGCGATTTCATCACATCTTTTAAACATGTTGGCTTGGGTAATTATATCCTAGATAGTCAATTAAACCTATAAATGCTATTAAACAAACTGGTTTAAGATAAGCTGAACTCTATTTTGTGTTTATGAAAAAAAATATTTGTCATGTTAGATCAATTTGTTGTTATATTTCAAGATCGCCGATTGAAAAATTAAAAGAATTTAATTACAATTGATACTTTCTCTAGCTAAAGAAATTCACACCTTTTAGATTTTGATTCCATGTTGAAGCCCTAATTGCTACTCTTGTAAAAACAGAGTGCTTCATATGGCATGATTATCTCGTGAATTTCACTGTCAAGAGAGGATCGATAGGGATTAGTCACGCTCTACTGATTTGACACCTGTTTATGGAATGATTTTCAACTGCGTAAATACTAGTACATCTCTCTGGTCAACTGGTTAATATTATTTGCGTGTCTGTGTATGTTAAACAGAAATTCTGACAGCTTTGTAAACAATGAAATAAATCAGACTTTATAAACTTCAGCAAGTAAGTTAATTACCGATTACCCCGGTAATTAAGTTGGGGGGGGGGGGGGTACACTGCTGACTATCTTTTTAACATATGCAAGTGAAATTTTTATTGACATATTTTTACTGAATTCCTATGCTTTATTTTATTTACCATAAATCTGTATTTTTGTGTATTTTTTTCTTTATACAGAAGGTTAATAGTTAGGCACTGTACATGCTGTATGTATTTCAAAAGAATTTATTTAATAATTCAATGTAACAAAAACACATTTATGAATGCAAGATGTTTACATTGTAACTAATATGTAGGAACAGAAACATGCACAAAACCTTAAACATTTCGAATTCTTTAATATTCTTTTTAAATGAGCTCGAATTATTATATATACACATAAAAAGATTTTGTGAAATTGAAGATTAATTATGATTAATTAATTTAACTGTAGTGTTTAATGCTGTTTATTTATTGACCAAATGTCCTTTTCGAGGGCAAACTGGAATAAGAGGCCACCTGTCTTATGCGGCCCGTTTCAAGACTTCCCAAAGGTGGCCTCTTAAAACAAGTTTGACTGTATATAATATGTAAATTTTGCTGTTTTTGAGTTTAACAGTGATTCATAAAGCGACTAGAGTAGCATTTTCAAAAATTTCCCCAATCTTAATAACGCTTAGAGCTTTGCAGTCCAATCCACCAATATCATTTTGATGGAATAAATTAAATGTCTGTAGAACTAATACTTGTCTGAATTATGTTAAGTGAAACAAATTCACTTTGTTTATTTCAAAAATATGTTTTAGGTGGTTAAATTCCAACAATATAACCAGTATTCAGACCAATGCCTTCAACGGTTTGTCAAATTTACAGGAACTGTAAGTATATAATCATCATCTGCAAGTCTCCTTTCTAGGTACCTTAACCAATTATGTCTTGATTTTATAGGTTCGTGTCTAATTAACTCATAATTATGTCTTTTATTTAACATTTGAGCATGATTACAAATCATTTTTTAGGTTTCATTTTTTTTAGGTCACCTGAGTAAACTTAGGTAAAATTTTGCTATCTGTTTTTTCGATTGTCGTGCGCCTGTACGTCAATCGCCCTCGTAAATATTTGTACATTCTCGGCTTCTTCTCTTCAAGAGCTCAACTTATTTAAACCAATTTTGGTACAAAGCATTTATGGAGAACAGAAATTGTGAATGTCATGGTCCCTGCCTCTCTCGGGCCTGTCTGGCGGGTCAAAACCATAAAAACTAATGCAATCTTTAAAAATCCTCTTATATACTTATGGACATCAAGGAATCAAACTGTGGCTTGATTGTAATAAGCATTAAATCCTCTACCAAAATTTTGAAATTCGTGCCCTAGGGCCAGGATTTTTGGCGCTATGACGGGGCTTTAATGATTGTATACTGAAATTGCATTAAATTGTTAAAAAAAATTCTTCTCTGCTGTTAAGAATTTAGCTGATGAACTAGGTAACAAATTTTGACTAGGGAGGCTGCCTCTTCCAAAATTGTGAATTTAATGGCCCTTTGTTCAAGGGTTCTGGTTTTAAGGCGGGGCTCTAATGATTGTATAGTGAACATGCATTAACTCTTTGAAAATCGTCTCCTCTGCTTCTGGAAATTAAGCTGACGAACTAAGTACATCGTTATGATAACAAAGAGTACCTCTTCCAAAATTGCGAATTTCAGGGCCCCTGGGTCAGGGTGGAACGCTAATTATTATATAATAAAATACATTATTTTTTTTTTAAATCTTCTGCTCTGCTTCTATCAATTAAGCTGACCAATAAAGTACACGGATATGATGAGGAAGAGTGTCTTTTCCAAAACTGTGAATTTCATGGCCCCTTGGTCAGTGGTTCCATTTTGGGGTGGTATTAGAGGGGGCTTATCTTTTATATACTGAAAGTAAATCAATACTTTGAAAATCTTCTCATCTGTTAATAAACTGGTGCTCACTCCTCCATGTCACCTGAACCCATTTCTGATGTTTTGAAGGTCCGTGTCTGCTTTGCTCCTACATTGTATTTTGTATTATTTCATGAGCTTTTGATCTTGATCCCTGTTCGTTATCCCCATATGTTTCTTTTTACAAATTTAAGTATGGAAAATCAATGATTTTTTTAATGCAAAAACTGTAACCTTTCCGATTAACTGAGGTCTTCCAACCGAATACAAACAGAACCTGTGGATAATGTCTGATTGTTTAATGCGTCATTGAATGTTGACGACTCTTTAAAATCCAGCTGATAACGTATTGTCTGTACATCAGCAAATAGACCTGCCTGACCTATGCCCAATAAAACCTACCGAATATGCACGTATACAGACGGGGGATAAACATTGCGATATTTATTCAATAACTTTTTATCATTTATTTTGATAGTATTTTTCCGGTTTACATTAACAGAATTTCTCTTATTTTCTCACCATAAGCATTTCTACTACATTAGTTACATGTAACAATTAAACGAATTTTCCTTACATCAGATATACATGTAGATGCATGTGATGTCATTGTTATAATGTAGAGTCCATAAAAACAAAATGTTGTCAAAAAAAAAAAAAACAAAGTTGACCTGGGTATTTACAGAATATTGCTTCATTATGCCCTCTTACATGTATACTCTTTTGAGAAATATATCAAAATACATGTAAAAATCAAGTTTGCAGCATTGTAAAATCTACAATTAATGAGAAAGGTCCTAAATTTTAATATTTAACAGAAACAACCCCTCAGTAAGCCAGATATCTTCTAAAATTATTAATATGTATGCTTTTGTAATCTTTTCTATCCTAAAATAAATTTTCGAATATTGTCAGTGGCATTTTTTGCGACAGACAATGTATTATTTATGATGCAGAATCATTTGAATTCAACACAAAAGTATGCTGAAGTTGATAGTTAGAGATGTTTCGTCATCACAACATATTTACATCCACTGAATATTTCTTTCCTTTATTTCTTATGAATACCATTGTCATATATCAGTGCATGATTTAATTCAACATAGCTACATCTTCACGGTGAACCCACTCGAGTTCAAATGTAATTTTTTATTTTGGATCTTTCTCTCTATATATTTCTTTTTATACTTTTTGGAATCAATCGAAGAATTACCAGCATGCTCATAGAAGAAAACATGAAATATAATCTCTCAAGGAAACCGTTGTCACGGGTAAAATGAGCTGTAATACTTTCATTATTGTTTTTGTCATAGACGATTTTTTAATTTGTTTAATTCGGTATTTACGTAGATTGTTGTATTCCACTTAAATATTTCATTTTGTAAATAATGTACGAACCACGAATATGAAAAAAACATACCCTTGATTTACGACATGTGACGGTATATACTTGTATCCCAAATCAACCTTCATTACAAATAATTGAACTGTTTTTTTACAGGAAATAGTAAAATTAATAATTTCAAGCAAAAGACGGCAATGGAAGTAAATGTATGTCATTGTATGATTCGTCACCCCTAAAATAATAATAATAAAATAATTCTCAATTAAGCTATAAATATATTTCAGTACGTACATGTATATGTTGTACCATTCTAATAGGAATGACATTTTATTGTATGCACAAAAAATAATAAAGAGTAATAAACTGCAATGCAGAGTAATTATTCTGTTATTATAATTCTATCATTTTATAAATTACAAAAATAAAACTCATTTATTTGAGAAATTACATTTCAAAATCAATGTAAGTGACATTTGTAATCTGTATTACGTATGAAAGAATTCCGAACCATGCTTGACCGCTCTGAACAATGATGGGTTTCATTCATCGTTTTTAAAAAAAGATTTTGATAAAGATCACGATTCTACAGGGTATATATTGTAAAAGGACTATCTACATTTGATTTCTGTTATTCCTTTCGTAGAATTCTTTACGAAAACAAAATCACCACGATACAGGACAATGCCTTCGCCGGCTTATACAATTTACGTAAACTGTAAGCGTGTCTAAAAAATTATTGTAACAGAAACCGTTTTATATGTTCACTACACGTCTATCATATTCTTTGCTATTGAATCATTTTCTACAAATATTTAACTTTTGGTTTCATACATGTTTGGTGGAAATTAGAGTTGGTTTCAATTTTAGTTAAAAAAATCTTTGAAAAAGAGAATATTTCAAATAACATTCAAACAAATAATATTTTATTCAACAACACAAAATATGCACACGCTATAGACAAATACGAGGGTTGTCCCGTAAAATCGTGGACAAAACATTATTTGTTTATTTATGCATATATCAATCTGAAATTTGTTGTGTATATTATTATAATATGTACTAAAAAATAGTGAAAATTTCAGAACGCAGTGATGTTTATTTTTCACACTGGACAACTTGTCCACGATTTAACGGGACAACCCTCGTACATAGCTTAGGGTGCTAAATACTTTTTAATTTAATATAGCTGCCGAATCTTTATGTACCCATTCGAGTTTAAATGTACTTGACTTGTGATTATTCAATCCCTCTACGTTTTTTTTACTATAATGTTTGAAACTGATTGAAGAATTACCAGTAGGTTCATTAGCTAATATCTGAAATTTAATCTTTCCTGAAATCTGTTGTCAGAAGTAACATCAGCTGTGATACCTAAAATCATGTTTTTGTTCAAGATTTTTTTCATTTGTTTAATTTGTTTTTCTTATAGATTTTTGTATAGACCTATCATTTCTCCTTTGTAAAAAATTTATGAACCACAAATATGAAATGCATGTCATTGATTTACAACCCTTGATATGTCGTCCCTTAATAATATTTTTAAAAATAACGTTTTTTTTAATTTGAAGTATAGATATGCATCTGGGTTTTTTTTTCAGTATATACTTGTGCATGTTGTTAAATGTTAAAATGAGTCACATATTTTTGCATGCACAAAAAGTTATCAAGAATAATGAACTGTAATGCAGGGTATTTACGAGTATACTGTATTTATATTTCTAACATTGAAGCAATTACATAAAAAATAGAAGTCGTTTATTTGAGAAATAACGTTTCAAAATCAATGCAAGTGACATAAGTAATCGATATAACGTATAAAGAGAATTCCAATCGATGCTTGCACAGCTCTGAACAATTGAGGTTTTTATTAATCACATTTTTAAATATAGATTTTGATTAATATCAAGATTCTTAAAGGGTATATGTTGCAAAAGGACTATCTACACTTTATTTCTGTTATTCTTTTCGTAGATATCTTTTCGACAACAATATCACCACATTAGAGGACAATGTTTTCGCCAGCTTACACAATTTACGTGAATTGTAAGTATGTTTTGTACTTATTGTAACAGAAACTGTTATATACGTTATAGAAATGTCTACCACAGTCTCTGCTGGTGAATAACTTCCTTCTGATTTTTTTACTTTGGCTTCCAAACATTTTTTTTGTTTTCAATTTGAGTTTATTTTAATTTATTACACACTTAGTAATAAATACAGGTTTTCTGCATATGCGATATGGCTGACGTCACAGTAGCCGTATCAGCCCTGCAGGGCTGATATGGATTTGCAGGGCTGATAACTTATATCAGCCCTGCAGGGCTAATACGGCTATTGTGACGTCAATATCACACCCTTAGTAAATTAAACCACAAAAACAGTACTTGTGATCATACACAATTTTTGGTGGGTTCATATTCTCTTATTTTTAACTTTAAAAAAAATAAGGTTAATCTTAATTTTCGAATACATATAATAGATTATTTTCAAATTACGGATCAAGTGCATTGAAATAGAAGTAGAAACAAACCCAAATCGTATGAGACAATAGATTATGTATATGTATGTAAGAAGTCCATGCATGATTATTTATTTATTTTCTCCTCAACTTAATGCATGCTGTATATTATTACTAAATATGTAATAAATATAATAAAACATACCCTTTTCCACATCACATCCTGTATCAGCCCTCGACCAATAACAGCCCTCGGGCCTTCGGCCCTCTGGCTGATATTGGTGTCTCGGGCTGATACAGGATGTTATATGGAAAAGGGTATGTATTATTCTCTATATTAGTTCAAATATATTGGAAAAAAGCAACGATTTTCAAATGATATTCAACCAACCAATATTTTACTCAACAACAAAAATATTCACAGGTTTTTGAAAAATACATACATGTATGATGCTTAATACTTTTTAATTTAACAGAGTAGTCGGTACATCTTTATGATGAACCCATTCGAGTTGAAATGTGCTTGTGATTGTTGAATCCCTCTATGTTTTTTACAAGTAGGTTTATGAACTAATATCTTAAATTTAATCTTTCCAGAAATCTGTTGTCAGAAGTAACATCAGCTGTAATACTTTAAATCGTGTTTTTGTTCAAGTTGTTTTTATTTGTTTAATTTGTTTTTCACATAGATTTTTGTATAGACCTACCATTTTTCCTTTGTAAATAATGTATGAACTACAAATTTGAAACTTGGCCATTGATTTACAACCTGTCCCTACTTCCCTCACTTATGCAGCAATATACCATTATTACCTGTATTCGGTGTTTATATATTTCAGTTGATTCGATATCTAAGAGCATGTTCCACGCATGAGCAATTTCTAATATAAGGTAACTTATCGACTAAAAATTGATGAAAGAAGAATATCAGCAGTCTCGTTTAAAGTCATCATTTCGTAGGTTCTATGGTCGATACAATGACCTTATCAGATAATTCAATTTTTCATTAGTCAAATGTTGACTGACGTTTTTCATACTAATTGTAGTCCATTATTCATACACTGAATTGACGACGGACTTTTTGTTATTCCTGATTATGACCGGTCAGCAGGAGATGCTCTCTCCTCCATATCACCTGATTCCATCTCTAAAATTTTGGAGGTCTGTGTTTACTCTACTTCTTTTTTGTATTGTTCTATGGACTTAGACTTGGAATACTGTTCTTTATCTCCATATCCTTCATACCCTCAGATACGCGTGGCGTCAGAGAACCCTCATTTAGTGTTTGTTAAGAGTGTGTATTTTGTTTTTGACAGCAACATGCTTGCCGATTAGTTTTGTAGGAGAGGAGCGTTAAAAGATCATTGGCCTCCATGGTATAATCATTTCGTGATGCCGGGCTCCTTACCCTTCGAATTTTTAAATAGTAGGTTTGACAGGACAGAATCTAATGGGCTGTGACAGAAGTCTGTAGGTGATTTTTTAAATGGTAGGATTGATATGCATTTCACAGTTAACTACCGGATAGATATTATTTGTGTTCCGTCCTTCTAAATTATTGCATAATGAATACGTTCAGTTAATCATGGTTAATTGACTAATTATAAGTCCCTCAGCACGTAATTGGCGCGGTCCTGAACTGCAACAGTAGTAGATTTGACTTCCTTTTTAAATGATGTTAAGCTCATGGCGGAGGCTGGTCAGGGCATTTCGTTCGGTTACAGTCAAATTGTCTCTAAATTATTGAAATAGATTTTACATAACCCCATTTTGATTGCATAGAGATAATTGTCTAAAGCAGTGTACAGTGTGTTGCCAGGGTTGTAATTGATATTGGTCATACATGTATAGGAGGGATGTAAAAAAAGTGATTGCCACCCGGCACCACGTGTGTCAACAAAAGAGGACCTGACACCTGAATCGGAGTTTTGGGCACAATTTGAGAATACATGTATTACAGGGTCTGCCACTCGTGAGAGGTCCAAACAGAATTAAGTTCTAATTATATATGTATTATAACTGTATAGAAATATGGACATGGCGTTGCAGCAATTTCTGATAATGATTGACTTTGCTTGCCATTTGGTGATAGTTGTGGTGGATATGCATTATTTCTGTTCCACGGATAAAGTGTTCATCCGAAGTTGTCTGTTTTTGGATATCAGTCAATAGTTACGAAAATGTATTTTGTCAAGTGTCTTCTGATCTTTCGGGGAATGTGAACACAAATTCGGTGCATTAGGAGTGTTAGAAACACAGGTAGGTTAAGGTTACAACCAAATATTCTACTTGCCTATATGCTATGACGTCATAATAAGCTATATGACGTGATATTTAGAGATAAAAATTTCTTAAAACCGATATTTAAGATTGATTTGAGGTCGTAAAAATGAACCAAAATATGCAGAGGATTAATATTAACGGAATTTTGTCGTTCCTGGGCCTCTGTAGTTATCACAGGGGTTACATGCCCAACCCGTGACGTCATAACTGTTGATCATGCAGTAGCAGAGTGAAAGTGAAAAGTAACGAATATTGACGTAAACAAACACAAGAAATCGGAGTTTAAAAGCATTTAGAATGAATATCATGTGTGATTCTTGTGGGAATAAAGCATATGAATAAGGTATGGTTATATAATTCTGCAATGTCTTCTTAAAATTAAAGCAGGGAGGGTGTTTACTTGCCAATCAGCATTTCCTCTGTCGTTCGTAACAAAAAAGATGCAAAAGTTCAACACTACGCCGCATACCTTGAAATTTAATTTTTGTTTCTATCTAAAGTTCTTATTCTTTTGTTTTTGAAAAGTGCTGCTAGAATCGTATTGGTTACGGGAATTGATGCATTTTTTTCGATGTTATGAACAAAATGTAAAAATTTTGGGAAGGTTTCGTCCGAAATTGTTGAATAATTATTTCTATAAGAGGACAGTAGGATTCTAGCAGCACTTTTCATGGTACAGAGATGTTTTAACATAACTATCAATATAAATAGGAACTAATTATCCCCGGGGTAGTGTTAAACTTTTCACTTTTTTATTAAGGCATATTTTCTAATTATAGACGTCACGTGGTGACGTCGTGGTGAAGTGCCTCCTGTAGTATAAGTTCCATTGAAGACTATAGAATACATAATTATAGTAAAAGTTTTATCCTTGACTTTTCCGATTTATAAGTGTTGCATATTAATTATAAAAAAAGTGTTAATTCGCCGAATTCCGATCCATGTGCTCCCTTAACACACCCGCGAAGTGTTTGTGCTCAAAAAGATCATATAAGGACTATTAATATACTATATAATAAACGAATTAAATTTCTCCATCTTGATTAAAATTAGATCCGGAAATTCCAAATTGACCCACATACATGTAGTTTAGAAATATTTAACGAAGATATAATGATCAGTTTTTCCATTTTGAAGTATAACAGTACTGTTAATTTTGGATTCCTATTTTTCCTTCCTGGTTGCACAAAATGCCGTTTTTGCAGTTAAATGTGTTATCCTGGTTCTGAAATATCCTTCAAAATATTTCTTATGAATTAAATCAACAAAGTGTGACAAATATAGTAAATATATTCTGAAAATGCAGGAAAAATTGAGCCAATTTCAATGTAAAATTGAAATTGTTTATTAGTATCTGAAAATATAGATCATATATACACTGTAATACCTCTGCTTTTGATGATCTTTTCTAAATATTCAAGATAAATTTGGCCTACATGTATTTGCTTAAAATCAGAAAAGTTTAAGTCTTTAAAATAATTTTCTTGCTTATTAAAGTTTCAATACTTTAAAAATCGCTTTTTATTAGTGCAGAAAGGTCAAAGTATTGATTTTGCGAAGCAATTTAAAACTTTTTGTAAGTCACAATTTTTAAGTGTCTTTTTTTTAAAGTTCAATTTGCTTCATGCTTCCATTGGATAAAAATATTGGAGGGAAAACGTCAAAAATATAATTTTAATGTAAGACACAAATTTCAGTGCAAAAGGTCATATTAAATGTACTGTAGCGCCAAAAGAAGCGTATTGATCCCCTTTTTTATTTGAATTTTAATTAAGGAATCTCTCTACACAAGTACAAAATTTTTTTTGGACATTGAGAAAAATATATCGTATAAAGGAGTAAATAAAAAGCTTACGTATTTATGTAATTTTCACTGTATGGTGCGTGGCATGTACCCCCGGGAAAAATCAAAGACAACACAGTATCAGTGAAAAGAAATCACTGTTTAGCATTTCAATAGAGAAAATACATGTAAATAACACATACAGTTAAATTATCTTGGCCTTTTGAAATGTTCAGAATACTTTAATTAATTGCAAATTCAGTAAGAATTGTAAATTTCTATTTTTTAGAATTTAGATTAAGGGTCAGATCACTCTTACTGCAGAAAAATACCTTAGAATCAGAACTCTTTAGTGTGCAGTGTAGAGAGGGTTCTAAGCTATGTATGTAGAAACTAAAAATATACTTGGCAAAAAAAGTTTAAGACTTTGAATATTAGAACCCAACGTCGTTAAATACGGGAAAAAGTAACATTGAATTAATTATGACGTCATAATGCATCTAACACAGGGTAAACACATTTATATCCACAACTTTTTCACAAATATAGGCAAATCTCATAATATGAAAAGCCTTTCCGTAGCTTGTTCTTGTTGCTTGAAACACTAAAGAAGACATGAGAACTTGAGTTGAGTGAAGATGTCATTTATTGACCAGATAAATGTCAAAAGTGAACAAAAGCACATAAAATATACAATATAACATACAATTATGTAAATTTTAGTTGGGATTATGCCAAATAATGAATAGTTTCAACTTAGACATAATATATTGCGACTTAGTGCTTATCCCAGCTATATAATGATTACCAAGTTTGTTTAACAAAAAGTTGGAGTAAACAAATGGGCCACATGGCATGCTAAATGCTAAGTGCTTGATCGTATACAATGAGGGAAAATGTATACAACAAAAATTCAACAATTAAGAATTTCCATTTCAAATATTGGTATTAAATGGGAGGAGGATCGGAGGTGGCGGTAAATTGACTTCAAACTCGTGTTTCCGCAAAATTAAATTAATTGAGCACTCGATCCCGATCAAGCCGAAACCGATCCAAACATGAGTTCAATCCCGATGCGATACAGATATAATTTGTCTACATTTTACAGGATCATTACAATTGAAAGTGACAAAAAAGGCAAAACAGTAGCGTTTTTTCTTACAATTTTGAAAGAACAAATCTAGAAATAAGTTTTATTGCGATTAGCCCTTAATTACAAGAACAATCAAGGTAGATGAATTATTCAAAGTTGAAGTAAAAAAAAAAAAAACAAATAAAGACCAGTCACGGCATTTAGTGAACTGGAGGCTCAAGATCGCCACATCGAACATAAGATGTAAAATTTGGTAGTGGTTGTTTCTTCGTCAAGCGAACTGTATTAAAAATTAAAGTAAAAAGACATTTAGATGAGATTTCAAAAACGAACCTCCCTATCAATCCTTTTCATGGAAATTCCAGCATTTTGTTGAAAGATCTGTGCCCGAATTCAACATAAATGTTCTCCTTTGGGAACTCCTGTATCGTTTGAATATCAACTTCTCAGAGCCGAACGTATGCTCTTTTACAAATCTAGAAATGACGTTGGTTTTTGTTTTAAGGCATTATTATACTCTAAGGAAGGTCTTGACATTGTCAACATTAATACAAACTTAAGAGATGAAAGAAAATTAAACATTATTTATATGATTTTCTTTCAAGGTTTACGAAGGTAAAGAGTACATTTCCTTCTGTTATAACCCCGAGATAATAACATTTTTAATATCACTCACTAATTCCCAGCTTTACTTTTCTCCGAATTTTTATTTCGATCTAGATCTAAAACGACAGGACAAATATCTGTGAGAATGAAAATCTCATTTATCCAATAAGTAAATCACAAAAAAATAAGTTTTACAAACAAGGGGGGGGGGTGAGCAAAAACAAAACAAACGTTTTGCACGCACATATAGATATACACATTTCACAAGGTATGAACACATACGTTCTGATCCCCCCCCCCCTAGAAATTATCTCACAAAGAAAACTTTAGTTCTGACTAAATACAACATAAACTTGCCAAAAAAAATATGTACGGCGTACAAAAAGCAAAAGATGGCGACAAATATGCCTCACAAAGACAAAGGATGTTATAAAAGTGTGACTTCAACAAAAAGTCGTAAAAAGAATTTTAAAAAAAATGGGTTTTTTTTACATCATGGAGAGACTTCAAAATGTAAGGGATGTTACACTGTACTACTAACATGTGAAAAGCTTCAATTCTAAGTGCAAATGAAAAATAATAGGTGGGAATGATAATGGGGACTTGGTGGGGAATTAAACTCCAAAGGGCTAAAAACGTGTTCCTCGCATCAATGATTGGCAATAATAACAAAACCACGTGACTCTTAATTAAATTCTCATTGAATAATGCGCCATCAACTTGGCTTATATTTCTTGGGGTTGAACACGGTTAAAACAATAGAGGTTTCAAAAGGAGGGCAACAACTTTAACAGGAAACGTATCGCCAAAATGCTATATCTACATACATGTAATAGGTGTTATATATTTCTCACTATTTCCAAGATACAAGCAGCTCAACGCAGCTTTGTTTTGCTCCGAATTTCTTTTTTAAATACGACAGGACAAATATCTGTGAGAATGAAAATGCCATTTATTCAATACAACGAAAAAATAAGTTTTACAAACAAGGGGGGGGGGGGGGAATCAGCAAAAACAAAACAAACATTTTGCACGCACATATAAAAAGGACATTTCCCTCTGTTATTACCACGAGATTTTAAAACTTTCAAAAATGAAATGTGAAGTAAAGAAACAGTAATCGTACCTAAAATCAAAAGAGATACGTACGAACACAGACAAACTATGTCGAACAGATGTGGGATTAAGTGCAAAGGTAGAGTAAGCATCTAATTTCCAAAAATACCATTTTGGTTATCCGTTTTTATTTTTCGGTTAAAAATGATTATTTTTCTCTAAATGTTTTGTAGTAATTGTAGGATTGTGGAACGACTATTTCCATTATCTAAATATTTTTTATTATTCTCTACGCAGAAAACACATAAAACATTGTATTCTTGATTTACTTTTATAAAAAGATGTTTTTTCATATTACAATGAAACATAAGGAGACAACGATCAGTATGTAAGAACAAAAGTCCATAAAACAATACAAAATAAAAGCAGTGGAAAAATTAGACTGAAAAATTCTTTCTGGTCTCTCATAAATGATAGATTTAAACATATAATATGTAAATTTTGCTGTTTTTGAGTTTAACAGTGATTCATCAAGCGACTTGAGAAACATTTTTCAAAAATTCACCAAACTTAATAACGCTTAGGGCTTTGCAGTCCCATCCACCAATATCATTTTGATGGAATAAATTAAATGTCTGTAGAAATGATACTTGTATGAATCATGTTAAGGGAAACAGATGCACTTTGTTTATTCTAAAAATCTTTTTTAGGTGGTTATATAACAACAAGATAACCATTATTCAGACCAATGCCTTCAATGGTTTGTCAAATTTACAGGAACTGTAAGTATATAATCATCATCTGCAAGTATCCTTTCTACGTACCTTGATCAATTATCTCTTGATTTTCTAGGTTCGTGTCTAATCTACTCATAATTATTTCTTTTATTTAACATTTGAACATGATTACAATTCATTTTTAGGTTTCATTTTTTAGGCTACCTGAGTAAACTCAGGTGACATATTGCTATCTTTTTTTCCGTTGTCGTGCGTCTGTACGTCGTCCGCCTTGCGCAAATATTTGAACATTCTCGGCTTGTACTCTGCAACCGCTCAACTTATTTAAACCAATTTTGGCACTAAGCTTTTATCGGTGAACAGAAATTATGAATGTCATGGTCCTGCCTCTCTCGGGCCTGAGAGGTGGGCCAAAACCATAAAAAATAATGCAATCTTTAAAAATCCTTTTCTATATTTCTGGACATCAAGGAGTCAAACTGTGGCTTGATTGTAATAAGCATTAAATCCTCTACCAAAATTTTGAAATTCGTGCCCTAGGGCCAGGATTTTTGGCGCTATGGCAGGGCTTTAATGATCATATACTGAAAATGCATTAAATCGTTAAAAAATTCTTCTCTGCTGTAACGCATCTAGCTGATGAACTAGAGTAAAAAGTTTTGTTGAGGGAGGCTCCCTCATCCAAAATTGTGAATTTAATGGCCCTTTGATCAAGGGTTCTGGTGGTATGGCGGGGCTCTAATGATTTTATAGTGAACATGCATTAAATCTTTGAAAATCGTCTTCTCTGCTCCTAGGAATGAAGCTGACGAACTAAGTAGTTAGTTATGATGATTAAGAGTGCCTCGTCCAAAATGGTGAATTTCAGGGCCCCTGGGTCAGGGTTCTGTTGTTAGGTATAGGGAGGAACTCTAATTATTCTATAATAAAATACATTAAATATTTCCAAATCTTCTCCTCTGCTTCTGTCAATTCAGCTGATGAATAAAGTACACAGTTATGATGAGGAAGAGTGTCTATTCCAAAATTGTGAATTTCATGGCCCCTTGGTCAGTGGTTCTATTTTGGGGTGGTATTATATGGGTCTTATTAATTATATACTGAAAGTAAATTGATACTTTGAAAATCTTCGCATCTGCCAGTTAACAGGTGCTCACTCCTCCATGCCACCTGATCCCATCTATGATGTTTTGAAGGTCCTTGTCTGCTTTGCTCCTACATTGCATTTTGTATTATTTTATGAACTTTTGATCTTAATCACTGTTCGTTATCCCAATATGTTTCTTTTTACAAATTTAAGTATGGAAAATCAATGATTTTTTTCAGTGCAAAAACAGGAAGCTTACCTATTAACGGATGTCTTCAACCAAATACAATCTGAACCTGTGGATAATGTCTGATTGTTTAATGCGTCATTGAATGTTGACGACTCTTTAAAATCCGACTGATAACTTATCGTCTGTTCATCGGGAAATAGACCTGCCTGACCTATGCCCAATAGAACTAACCGAATATGCACGTATACCGACGGGGGATAAACATCCCGATATTTATTCAATAACTTTTTATCATTTATTTGATAGTAATTTTCTGGTTTACATTAACAGAATTTCTCTTATTTTCTCACCATAAGCATTTCTACTACATTAGTTACATGCAACAATTAAACGAATTTTCCTTATATCAGATATACATTTCGATGCATGTGATGTCATTGTTATAATTTAGAGACGATAAATACAAAATGTTGTCACAAACAAATAAAGTTGACTTGGGTATTTACAGAATATTGCTGCATTATCCCCTCGAATACCCTATTGAGAAATATATCAAAACATATGTAAAAAAAAAATTCGCAGCATTGTTAAGTCTAAAATTAATGAGAAAGGTCCTAAATTTGCATATGCATTTTTAATTGTTTTTATCCTAAAATAAATTTTCGTATATCGTCATAGGCATTTTTTGCGGAATATTATTTATTTATGCAAAATCATTTGGATTCAACACCAAAGTATGCTGAAGTTGATAATTAGAGATGTTTACATCCACTGAATATTTCTTTCCTTTTTTTCTTTTGAAAACCATTGTCATATATCAGTGCATGATTTAGTGTAACATAGCTACATCTTCACGATGAACCCATTCGAGTTAAAATATACTTCTAATTTTGTTTATTTCTCTCTATATATTTTTCTTTCTATACTTTTTGGAATTAAACGAAGAATTACCAGCATGCTCATAAAAGAAAATATGAAATATAATCTCTCAAGGAAACCGTTGTCAGGGGTAAAATCAGCTGTAATACTTTTATTATTGTTTTTGTTATAGACGATTATTTTATTTTGTTTAATTCGGTTTTCACGTAGATATAGAATCTCCCATATTTTGTTGTTTGATATGATTTTTATCCAACGAGTTGTGTGTTTTCTATCCCCGAGCCTTGGCGAGGGGATAGAAAACACACAACGAGTTGGATAAAAATCATATCAAATCACAAACCATGGGAGATTCTTTTTATCACATATTTTTGTTCACTATAAATGTGTATTTTGTTGTTATTTCTAATTCAAAGTTCCTTTTTGGTTGCCTTGGACCAAATAACGTAATAAATAAAGTTACGCTGTATGAAATAGTTCGTACAAATATAAAAGAAAGAAAATATTTTAGCACTTTTTTTTTAATATATGAATTAAATCTTGTAAAAATACATCAAATAAAGTAAAATTTGACAACTTAAGTCATTATCCCCATCATACACATGTATTTGTTTATTTACATTACGTCACGTGGCGTAGGAATACATAGTGTTGATACGAAAACGATATCACATGAGCTATATCAACGGGATAAAGGGGACAATATGTGATAAATTGTTGTATACCACTTCATTATTTCCTTTTTTTAAATAATGTATGACCCACGAATATGAAAAAAAAAACATGCCCTCGATTTACGACATATGACGGTATATATTTGTATCCCAAATCAACCTTCACTTCAAATAATTGAACTGTTTTTAAAGGAAATGGTAAAATTCATAATTTAAGCACAAGACGGCAATGGAAGTATGTGTATGTCACTGTATGATTCGTCGCCCCTAAAAAATTTTTATAAAATAATTTTTTTTAATTCCCAGTTAAGCTATATATATATTTTCAGTACGTATATGTTGTGCAATTTTCATAGGAATAACACTTTATTGTATGCACAAAAATTATCAAGAATAATAAACTGCAATGCAAAGTAATTACGAGGGTTGATCCAAAAGTAATGTCACAACTTTGATAAAATTGCTATTAATCGACGTAAAGCAAAAAAATAGTACATGATGGAAGCTTTATTTATTTCAAACCAAACCTGAAAAATTCAACGGAATATGATGTATAATTTTCAAAATATCGGATTTTAAACAATGCGCGTTTATGGTAGTCGCCGCACCAACGGATACACAACGTAATACTTTTAAGCATTCACCCTTCGTTTCATTAAAAAATATTTGTAATTCGCAAACACTTTCACCTATTTTAGTTTCTTTAAGAATTCTTGGTACTATTATACACTCACTCATTTCATAATTAATCCCTCTGTCAAAATTTTTTGAACAGTAGCATAAGACAAACTTAAAAATTCACAAGTCACTCTTTACGTCTGTCTTTTTTGACAACGTCAGGCATCATTGAACGTTTCCGTCCGATCTCCTATCTTTAGGTCTTCTTGTCCTCTGCTAATCATTCAGTGACCAATCACCCGCCCAAAATTGCTAAAACCATCTATTAAGATGTCTCTTATTTACGTTCTTTATTCTCTAAGTCTGATTGATTAACGAAAATGTCTCTAGTGATCATTCCCATATTTTGAAGCAAAAATGCATTACAACTCGTCGAGCCTTTTTTCCCAATATCGACAATCCCATTGTTCAATTCAACAGAGTAAAACACAATGTTTATGATCACAAATACCAATTCAGTCATTTAATTTTCAATTAAAGACTAGAAAATGACAAGAATTTTGTCCTTAAAAAACTTGGGAGATTATGTGCTTTTTTAGAATCTTTTTAATGTGTTTTTCTTTTTAATTCTAAGAAAATATACACTTGAAAACGTGACGTTCCGTTGTGACGCGGCGACACCCCCTATGCTCTCTGTTTTAAACATTTATAAAATAAATTCAAATAAACATTAATAAATTAAAATTTCAATGTTAATTAGATTTATATTTGTGCAACTTTTGGTGTATTGTATTTGATAATTTGACGCCATATATAAAAGATATGGACACTGTGACATTACTTTTCGATCAACCCTCGTATAATATAATTATAATTCTATTATTTTATAAATTACAAAAATAAAACTCATTTATTTGAGAAGTTACATTTCAAAATTAATGCAAGTGGCATTTGTAATCTATATTACATATGAAAGAATTCTACAAATATTTAACTTTTGGTTTCATACATATTTGGTTGAAATTAGAGTTGGTTTCAATTTTAGTTAAAAAAAATTCTTTGAAAAAGAGAAGATTTCAAAAAACATTAAAACAAATAATATTTTATTCAACAACACAAAATATGCACACGCTATGGACAAATAAATATGTTGCTTAAGGTAGGTACCTAGTACTGGACCTACTTGTGATATTTCAAAAAATTGTTCTCAAATGTTTAGATTGTTCATACTAAAGTATGATGAATTGGAAAAAAGAAGGGGTTGTCAATATTATTACTGAGAGAGAGTTTCTAAAACATAGGTACCCCCATTTGTCAATTGACGATATTAGATTCCAATAAAGGTTTCACATAATTTGTACATAAAAACACTAATTTTGATGCAAATGAATGATTTTTCCTATTAAAATCAAAGAAATATATCCAATTAAACAAATTACGGTGAAATTTTATTCTTATTATATTTTCCTTGGTTTTTGGGGACTAAATTGAATAAAATACAACCCTCGACCAGCCCAAAAACTTGGAAGTACAACACTATTAAAATTATTGTAAGAATAAATGACTTGTGATTTTTCAGTCAAATTCTCAAATTATG